CCTGGCCCATGACCCAGAACACGAACGAACGAACGCACACGCACACACACACACTTCGGGCTAGGTCCCCCTCCCAACAAACACCTCGCCCAAGACCCAATCTCCCACTCCCCACCCTCTCCCCAGCCCCATAGCGGCAGGACCTCCCGCGCCACAGGGCGAGCTCCACACCCCACCGCCTACAAGCCCCCACGCCGCCCCGCAGCAACCCGCACTTCCGGCCCGAAGGCCCGCCCCCCGGCACCGAGGAACGCGCGCCCCCCCAGGCCAGGCCGCGCGGGCTGGGTCACAGCCCCGCCCTTCCCCCCACCCGGCCCGAGCGGCGTCGCTGTGTGGAGCAGCTGCCTACGAGGCCTACCAGGCCCAGGCCCACAGTGCCCACCCGACAGCCGCCGCCCCAGGCCCGCTAGTCGACTCACCGGCTCTCGGCGGAACCGCGTCCACTACCCGCGCCCGGCTCAGGTTCCGTCTTCGTCTCGTTCAAACCGTCCGACCCCGCCCGCCCGCCCGCGCGATGACCTCACACGCTCCCCCCCTCCCGTGACGTGCCGACGTAAAGGCTCGTCATCTGCCGCCGGCTCCTTTTATAGAGAGGGACCAGGCCGTGCGCTGAGGGCGGAACGTAGTCATTGACTGACAACCGGGGGCGGGGCACCGACTGTGCACGTGCTCGACTACAGCCAATGAAGCGCTACCACTGTTTGGCGTGACTCCGCCCAGAAGGCGGGGTCCAGTCACACTTTCTCCACCGCAATAGCCAAAAAAGAAAATCCATTTTACAAAGAATTTCTACAAAGATGGTCTACTGTACAAGGATGTGTCACCTCAGAAACACGTTCTGAGACCACCCTATATGTAAGGGCTCTGTGCTATAATTAGTTTATTTTCTTCCTAGTGCTAGATCGTATCTTGTTTATACCTTTATTGTCTGCCTTCTCATAAACTCCAAAGAAGCCATCACTTTCTTATTCCTGTTTCGAGCTGTGTCCCAGTTCCTGTACCTACATTCTCCTAAGAGCTTTGGTAATAGGATGAATTACACTATTTTACAGCGGAGGGGGCTGAGGATCAAATCAGCCAACTTGACTTGCCCAAAATCAGACTTTTCAGGCCGTTTTCTTTGTCAAGATATAATTTATTCGTGTATGCAACGAGCATTTATTTTCCCTAACCAAAGAGGTCCTCGGGATTTGATAGTGAGCTGAAACCAGACATAGCCTCCCTGACCTAGTTTCCAGGAGGTAAAGGGGACAAAATGTAATGATACAAATCCCTAACTTAATGATAAATCAGATTGAGTGCTAGCAGGTATGATATGTGACAGGAGTGCTGGTACTTGCACTGGGGGAGCCTTCTAGGCCAAATTTCACCCAGTTAATTGTGAAGTGCAAGGATATTCAGAGAAGATAGGGATTTGGGGCAAGAGCTTTTTCTCATTGGAGACACGCCCATATTCTAACAACCACAAGGTACTACTAGCTTTGATTGAATATAGCACTTTAAGAGACACTTTACATGAAACATGAGGAATTGCCAGCCAAATCGTTGGAGTAGTTATGAGGCAAGAGCCAACAGTAAAGAGCCCTATAATCAGTTATGGTAGTAAGAGTAGAACAGTAGCATCATGAAGCATCAGTGGTTAGGGTCCTTGCTTAATATGTTCAAGGCTTAGGATTTCACTTCCCAACACTTTGGGGAAGCTATGCACATCTTAATCTGACCCAGATACTTTGGCTGAAGGCCACATGCCCCACTCCAATATCTTTCATGGCTGTAATAGTAATTAAGAGGGTAGGTGGTTTTACAGGCCTGTGCTCAGAAACCTGTGGTTCCCTGTGTATCTCAAACCAGGTCTATACTCTACTCTGGCCCTAGAGTACTTGTTGACATTTTTTTTCCCTTTGGTGGTACAAGGGATATTTGAACCCCTGGCACCTCACCACCACTTAAGCTATGACCCCAGTCTCCACTTATCCTGCACCAGTGTTCTCAGTTCCAAACAAAATGGCCTGCAGATAATGGTGATAGGAATTATTTGACTTTTTAAAACGTTTTACAAGGATTTATTTTAGTATAAAGGGGGTAAAGTAGAAAGCAAGAAAAAGAGAAACATTTTCTGTTACTTGTGCAGGAAATGAGTGGTTCTTATCTGTAGCTTATCTGTATTTTCTGAGCTAGGCAAAGTCAGTTATGGACTCCTATTCTTTAGCCAATGGTCTTGGGTGGGTAAGGTAGGTGAGTTCTAACAAGAAACTCAGGCAACCGAACAGCCTTGAGAGCTTTATTGTTGGGGATGGTGGATTTTTTGCTTAGGTTTTTCTTTTTAGGAGGGGCAAAGGGGGCACAGAAATGGAAGGACAAACAAATGCAGCCATGATATTTATTTTATACTATGTGGAAAATGAACTATGCAACTTCAGGGCAGGGACAAGAGGAGGAAACTGAGAAAGCGAAAGATGGGTGATATTGCCTAAAAAGAATTGTACCCATTACCTAATTTATGAAGTGGCAACCCAATTGTACACATTGAACACACTACACACAAAATTATATTTTAGTAAGTTTCTAAAAATCAACAAATTTTAGCAAGGAAAGAGAAATGGAGAGGATGTATTTAGACTGGAACAGAAAAAGAAGGTAAGTAGGTAAACTAATTGTACCCCAGACACCAGCCATTCACACCGTTCACACCTGTATCCTAGCTTCCCAGGAGACTGAGACCTAAGGATCACAGTCCAAGGTCCAGTACAGCACAAAAGTAAAAAAAAAAGGCAGAAGTGGAACTGTGGCCCAAGTGGTAGAGCACCAGTCTTAAGGGGAGAAAAAACAAACCTCAGGGACAGTGGCTAGGCTTTGAGATCAATTCCCCAGACTGAAACACACACACACACACACACACACACACACACACACGCAATTTCCAGGTCTAGAAAAAGAAAATTCTGGAAGTGGTGCTGTGGCTCAAGTGGTAGAACGCTCACCTTGAGCTGAAGAGCACAGGGACAACACCCAAGCCCAGAATTCAAGCCCGACTGACCCCCCCCCCAAAAAAAACCTACACAAAACAAAATGCTGGGGGCTGGGAAGGTGGCTCAGTGGTAGAGTGCTTGTCTTGCATGCATGAGGCCCTGGGTTTGATTCCTTAGCACCACATAAGCAAAAAGAAAAAAAAGCCAGAAGTGGTGCTGTGGCTCAAGTGGCAGAGCACTAGCCTTGAGCTGAAGAGCTGAGGGACAGGGCCCAGGCCCAGAGTTCAGGCCCCACAACCGGACCGCCCCCCCAAAAAAATGCCGGTAATATGAGAAAAAAGGCATCTTGAAGCTACTGGCTGGATTTTAACTCGGCCCCTGAGACCAATAGCTAGGAATGCTTGTCTATTATTGTGGCCAGCAGATCTCCTGTGAACCATTGCTAGGAGGATTTTCCTACAGTGGAGGGGAAAGCAGCTTCCCCAACCATTTGACCCACCCATGACCCCTGTGAGTTTGACTTTATAGCTGGGAGCAACACCCAAGGTCACTAGTGAGAAGCCCTGATAAACCACTCAGGCTGCAGAGGGGGAATCCAAAACTTGAAGCTTTGCTATTCAGCTTTTCCTTATTACCAGCACCAGCACAGTCTCCACTATCATTAATAGCATAAATGGCTCTCCTTTGTCACAATAAAGCCAATACAAGGGAAGGTCTCACCCAAAGGGATTAGGCAAGGTCCTTTGCCCAGATCTGCAACCTGTAGTTCATTAACCTCATGAAATTGACAACCCTGCTTAAGTTACCTTTTCCAAGTAACAGCAATGTGCCAGTCCCTGGATTGAACGGGCAGCAAACTCTTGCCAGCATATGAATCCCTCCAGAAACAGAAAACAGTCCCTCTGGGGCCTCCCCACCACTCAAGCCTGTCAAGACCCCTCACCTGGCGGGCTTGTCCATCTCTCTTGGGATTCCGAGGTCGGGACTGTTTATTTCGCTTCATCCTGTCCTGGCATTTGGTGCAGCACCGTACACAAGATGGTTTAATTGGACTGCCAAGTTCCCTTGGGTCTCAAACACTCAGTCCCTTTGCTAATTGTCACACCATAGCAACTCACAACTGTGCTGCTCTAACTTGTGACAATTTTCTAGTAATGTCATTTGGATTTTCATCCTCACACTCCCAAAAGCTTCCTTTCCCAAGTTTGAGCCAGACCTGCGCTATGAAGGAATGCAATTATGGAAGACATGAGCATGAGTGTAGTCAAGGAAATCTGACTGATGTAACAAAGGCCAATACTACATTGGTAAAATTGCCACGACCACCAGTTCTCATTTTACTCCACTCTAAATAGACCAGCTAACCAGTATTAACTTCTGCAAAAGTAATTTCCTTCAGCTCTTTTCTCATCAAAGGGTGGCTAGAAGTTGCAATTCTGCCATGTCTGTGTTTGGGAGACCTAAATGGCTGGCCTTAGATAAACAAGTAGAATGACTGGAGGAAGCACACAGGAAATGGTGAATGACTTGAGAATTTTAGACTTAGTGAAAAAAAAAAAATCACACTATACCAAGGACTAAGTTGGGATCACAGGCTGATTCTCAACCTGCCTCACCCAGGCTGCCCTTTGGAATGACAACCTTGAATTTGTGAAATGAGGTGTAACAGAATACCACAAAAGCAGGAGGAACTGACATAGTGGTATTGTGACTGATCGTTGGTCCAAAGAGTAGAGATGGGTGTCTCAAACATCAAGCCTTGAAACACATTAAAAAGCTCCAGCCATACTTGGAAAACAAGATTATGTCTGTCCACTCACTACTCCTTCATTCCCAGCAACTGATTCTCAGAATCAGCGCCAGCATGTTGAAGATACTGCTTCAGTCCCCATGACACCCCAATGTTTAGAGGCATCAATGACTTCTTTCCAGTTAGCCAGGCCTTCCTGTGTCCCACCCACTTGACCTGTCATAGAACAAAATGGACACCAGACTAATTATAGAGAAATACTGATTTTAATTAGACAGAATAAGGTAAACTCCAGGCATCCGTTATCTTTTGGCCTAAAAGTCAGCAAAAAACTGTTGAAACAAGGCACAGTTTTTTCCCCATACTTTTTTATACGACTCCAGTTACAAAAAGATTTTAAAGAAAATGCTAAAAACAAAAAATAGAAGTCTGAGATTTAAAAAAAAAGTGTATAAAAAGCCCCACAAAATTTGTCACGGTCGTTCTTATTCTACAAAATAGCACCAGTTAAGTGTAAAAAGGTGTTAAAAACCATAATGGCAGCATTTCTGAAATGCAGCTTGTCCACCTCTCTCGGGCCTGTAAAAAGACGATATATTGTAGAATAAAAAGGGATTTTAAAATCTTGGAGAATCAAAAGCTCTTATCTTATTACAGCTCCCCTGCCATCTCTTAGATGAGGGGAAAGGTGGAAATGTGCTTTCTGCCCCTGTCTATCAAAGAATGAGGATCTGGGGATCCATGCCTGCGGGAGAGTACATCTTTTGAAAGGGAAGGGAAGGGACTGGGGGGGGGGGAGGAGAGAGAAGGGGGATCTTATCTAAGCTATCTCCTCCATAGCCCTCACATAGGGAATAGAAGAGACTAATAAACTCAACTTATCCATATACATATATGGCAGCTATACTAGCTCAGTCCATTCCTTCCTGAGCTCCCCAGAGGATTCGCAGGTACATGGAGGGATCTCGCTGAGGTGAACACATGGGTTGGGGGAAAATAGCCCTGAATTGACGGTGATGACATCATGCCTGCTGAAATCATCACCATGAAGGGAAAATGTGGCCCTTGCACCAAGGCAAGGGGAAGAGGCTGGGTAAAATCCAAGACATATACAGCAACATATCCTCTTCTGTTATCCCTAGAAAAAAAAAAACATCCTAGGCCCTGAAAAATGGCTACATGTCTACAACTGCAAGCTCCAGTAAACAGGAAACCCCAGACATTGAAAAAAAAATTAAATCTTATTACAGTAATGACTGTCTTGGGTGATTCTGCAGCATTAACCTGAGTGTTGGAGAGCTACCTGACAGAACTGTGATTTTGGTTATCTTAATGGGAAACCCAGGGAAAAAGGGATGGGGGAGGCCATCTTACTATCTACTTCAAGTTTTTGAAATTTTAGAAAGGACAAATGAGCACCATGTTTGACCGCTCTGAGCGGGCAGGTCTGAGTTGTGCACAGGAGGTGGCACCTTGGGATTTCTCTTTGTCAGAGAGGGTCAAGTGGCTCTGCTCCCACTGAGCAGGAGAGAGCTGAGGTACAGTGAGACCGCACACAGCTCAGCTGAGCTGAGGAAGGGCAGAGCTAGGGGAAATCATCATCATGAATCTGAGCACCTCCTGGGCCCTAGCCCTGCCCCTGATACCCCAGTTCTCAGCAGGCCTGGGTAGAATTATTCACAGGCAAAGTAGTCCTTCAGGGGGGCGAAGAGGTGTCGGATGACAGGCACACTCCAGGACCTCCCGAGCAGCTTCTGGCGGGCACTACGGCCCATGTTGCACACGTCCGTGTAGTGTACAGGAAAGCCGAAGATCCTGGGGAGCACCAGGGTGAAAAGACAGGGAATCAGAACAGCCTATCCCAGCACGATGCCTAGAACCCCTGGGTTCTAAGAAGTCCTCATGTGGGCCAGGCAGCAAGCTACCACTTTCTCTACCGAAGTATGTCCAATCCCTTCAGCCCTTGGGCCTTCAAAAGAGAACCCTTTCCATCTCTAGGAGGTCAGGGTCCCATCTTTTAGACAGAAGTTATTCTTATTAGGGCACCCGTTCTTTCCAGCCCCAGTCCTACCACTGTGTTCCAGCAATCTGTGTTCAAAGTATCTTACTTTAGTAAATAAATGTTTGGCTGAATGCCAAGCAAGTAGAGGCTTCTTCAAAGCTCAATATTTTCCTTGAAGAATAAGGTCAAGGCCATTCACAGAAACAGACCAGGTGAGTTACCATAAGTGAACTATAAATTGATTCCCAAAGTTGCCTAACAGGACTCAACCAGGCCTAGTCAAAGGCTAGAAGACTAAACCACAGTACTCAGCACCAACAGGTCAATAACTGGACGGGCTAACATCTCAGGCTTGTAACTTGCCATCTCATAGAAAGCCATCTGTACCTGCCCCTATCACATCTCTACCTATACTTCATACACAGGTGTCAAAAATCCTGAAGAATTCACGGCATCTGTAGATTCACCCAAGATATTCAGTTTTAATTTCTTCTTATTAATCAACATTGTTTATTGAGAAATAAACTCAAAGTACAATTAGGGATCTGGAATGAAAATACTCTGTATAAAATGCCTTTGGAAGATACCCAAAAATGTAAGGAGAGGAAAATTCATATCCTTACTTTTTTAAGAACAAAATTAATCCAAAAAGAGGTGGGGGGTGGTAGAGAGGAAACATTGAAGTCCAAGAGATAGATATTTCCATTGGAATAGACACATACTTAACCCAATAAAAGAAGAAGACAGACTTTGGGCTAAGCAGTATGAATCAGCTGTATAAGAATAATTCAACTGAAGAAATCTTCCAACTAATACCAATGGGCCTGGTGCTGGTGGCTCACATCTGTAATCCTAGCTACTCAGTAGGCTGAGATCTGAGGATTGTGGTTCAAAGCCCGCCCAGGCAGGAAAGCCCGTGAGACTCTTATCTCCAATTAACCACCGGAAAACCAGAAGTGGCATTGTGGCTCAAGTGGTAGAGCACTTGCCTTGAGCTGAAGAGCTGAGGGTCAGCGCCCAGGCCCAGAGTTCAAGCCCCACAACAGATGAAAGAGAGACCAATGGGGTTTTTTTTTGTTCCTCATAGATCTTTTGTTGCCGCAGCGTGTCAGGGCAGGTAGATATCAGGACAGTACAGACAGGCGGTACTGTAATGACCTCATATCCAGAATCACCCACCTCTACTGCCAGAAAAATAAGGGCTAGCTCTGAGGTATCATCCCCGGTCACACTGCACTGGAGGCAGCGAGACTTAAAAAGAATTAGAACAAGCGCCTGCCCATCATTTATAGTTCTGGCCTTGACCCCATCCATGCGCCTCCCCCTTCTGTGTCTGTCTGCACCAGCTCCCTCAAGTGCAGCCTTGCTCACCTTTCGAGCTCAGTGCACCACAAAACATCTTCTTTGCCATTCATGACAACAGGGAAAAGTTGGTTTTTCCCCTGTCTGATCGAGTTCGACTTGGTGGTTATTGTCTGTACTTTCTTTAACTGGAGAACAAAAGGACATCATGGAGTAAGCTCAGAAGGGTTCTGGGCAGGGCGAAGGCCCAAAGGTGCCTGGGGAGGGGGTTGGGCATGTGTAGGAGTTGGCAGTGCTAGGCTCACTGAGTGAGAAAAGGAGACAAAAAGGCGGTAAACATTTTGTGCTTCCCACAGACACAAGAAGTTTAACAAGGACACAGCCTGAAAGATTAAGATAAGCAAAAAAGTGACCATGAGTGAGGTCGCATGGGGGCCAAGAAGACACCAGTTAGTGATCAAATAGGATTCAAGTCAAGGAGAAACCTTGTCAGGCAGACTTTGGACAAAGGATATTTTGTTTGATGCAGATATTGACGATCAGGTTCATGGACAAAGTTACAATTTTATCTGAGACCTGACAGCATATTGCGGGGGCGGGGGCAGGGGGTTGGTTGGGTTTTTTTGCTTCTGCTTTGTTTTTTTGCAAAAGCATTACTCTTTTCTTGTGGAAGGGCCAGCTGAAATTCTGCCTCTCCCTACATAGTCCATATTAACTGAGAGGAAGAATAGTTGCCTTTCCTCAGAGATTGCTTATCAAGAATCATTTGTACTCTCAGTACTTGAAGAGGGTACAGAAGCCCAGCACCAGGACATGTGAAGAGAAGGAAAGAGGAGGAGGTGGAGGAAGAGGAGGAGGACACCAGACACCAAAGTCATTTCCCACGTCCCCACTTAGGGATCACCAAAGTGCATTCATTCTCCAGGTCACCGTGCAGTCTGTTTAGAAATACACCTTACCTTTGCTGTCCTACTGAACTCCAAGCAGTCCTGCAGCTCGAGTTTATCATTCTTTGATGCTATCACAGGCCTGAGAACAGCCAAAACCCATTACTTTCTACCATCTGCAGGAGGGACCTCAGCCAGGCACCTCACAGCAGGAGGAAGGGGTACTTCCAGTGTGAAAAGGTGCCCCAGCAGTGGTAATCTTGCCATGAGCACAAGTCTATGCCAAGGCTAGGAGTGGATTAGCCCCCTGCAGTGACTGCTGCCTGTCCTGAATTAGTATGAATCCAAGCCAGGTTCCTACAGGAACAGGAGGGTTGGGGACACTACAACCCAGGAGGGTAGGAGACACTACTATCCAGGTCCACACTGTTTAGTAGATTTGAGCATGGTCTTGGCACTTCACTAGGCTTCATTTATAGTGGGTGGAGCCTGGGAATCAAACCAATCCTAGGAGCTGGGCGCTGGTGGCTCACCTGTAATCCTAGCTACTCAGGAGGCTGAGATCTGAGGATCTCAGTTCAAAGCCATCCCGGGCAGGAGAGACCGTGAGACTCCTATCTCCAATAAACCACCAGAAAACCGGAAGTGGCGCTGTAGCTCAAGTGGTATCTAATCAATTTATCATTTCCCCCTGTCTCTCAATAAAGCAAGACAAACTTGCTGATTGAGAAAATGTATGTGAATGTAGCATGGGAACTGCAGGACCACAAAGAACCAAGAGACGAAAATGGATATTGCCAAAGTGGGGCCTCTGCACATTTCCCTCACATCATCTCAAGGATTCCACCCTGTCCATAGTTCCGTCCTCCTAGACTGAATGAAGGGAGCAAAGGGACTATGGCTATACAAGCCTTGCATCAATCAGGCCCCGAGACCTATGCCTTCTTCCTGATAGTGTGTTCTGCACCTATAAACCACCTCGATCTCAACTCCAAATAGTCATCTTCAAGTGCTTTCTCAGCCACTTCACAAACAGCTATGCTGGGGATGTTCCCTATTCCCACTGCCATCATCCTTTTGGACTGCCAGCAGATTTGACTCCTTAATTGCTGGTGGGTTCTGATCTCTCCTGTCCACATTTTCCCCCCAATTTTTTATTGTTATGATAAAGGTGATGTACAGACAGGCACCAGTTACATGTCAGAGTGAAGGTTGTATAAGTCATGTAAATTCAAGTATGGACAAGGCACCATTTATTATGCTAGTTAGTCAACTCAAAGCGCAACCATTCAACAGAATCCCTCCAATTATTCCTAGATCAGATGTCTACACTTGGTTAAATTCCGTAAAGCAACCATACTTAACTCATTTGCAAAACTAAGGTGTCATAGTACCATCATATTTGGCAAACTGTATTACCACGTTCTTCGTGAAAGTACAGTAAAGATATAGGCCTATCTTAACTCAAGGAATGAACTATAGTTATGACAAAGGTAGGAAAGACTTAGTTATAAACATCTGAAGATGACGAGGTGAACCAGTGGCTCACACTTGTAACCTAAGGTACTCAGGAGGCTGAGAACTGAGGATCATGATTCAAAGCCAGCCTAAAGTCTGGGAGACTATCTATAATTAACTCCAAAAAGCGAGAAATGGCTCTGTGGCTCCAAGTGGTAAAGCCGTAGCCTTGAGCACAAAAGTTAAGGAGACAGTGTGCGCAGGCTTTGAATTCAAGACCCAAAATGAGCACCAATAAAACATTATCTGAAAGTGAGCTGGGAAGGTGGATCAGTGGTAGAGCTCGTGGCTTGCATGCATGAGGCCCTGGGTTCGATTCCTCAGCACCACATAAGGAAAAAGAAAAAAGCTGGAAGTGGCGCTGTGGCTTAAGTGGTAGAACGCTAGCCTTGAGCTGAAGAGCTGAGGGACAGCGCCCAGGCACAGAGTTCAGGCCCCACAACCGGACCCAAAGAAAACAAAACAAAACAAAAATTATCTGAACGTGAGAGATCTGGGGGAGAATTTTGCCAACTGGTTGGTCACTAAGGGCCTGCTGCAGGGGTGACTTCATCTCAGGGGCAGGAAGGAATGGATTACAACTTTAACCTACTTCTATTTCCAAATAGGATTTGCTATAGCAGCAAAAAAGAGAGGTAGAGTATAGAGACACCAACAGCTCTCAAGTCTCAAAAAGATTACCCAATGTCCCTGGCACTCACTCGGCCGAGCACACGGGAACCAGGGTCCTGGTAGGCTGACTAAGTGACGAAGCCCATGAATCTACTATTATTTCTGAATAGACAAATAAGAAGCAATGCGTAACACCACAGGTTAGCCCAACTGTCAGATCGGGCTGTTGACAGCAGTTTCTAGAAGACTTGAAAGAAAACTGAGATCATTCACTCTATGTCACTGGGCTTGTTACCTGTTCATCCCAGGTAGGTTTCCCCAGAAGTATCTGGCCCTGTGAGCAGCAGAAACTTTGATGGCATCAATCATCACTGGATTACACTGCAGGAAGAGAAGGAGGGCTTGAGCTGCCAAGATTCTAGGTGGGAAAGCACATCAGAGCCCAGGTGCATTGGGCTAGGTGCACTGGCCAGGTGCCTCCCCAGAAGACAGACCCATTTCCATCAAGAGTTAGCATAACAATAGGGCTAAAACTTTATATGAATGAGGGGCAAAAAGAACAGATCAGACTTGTTGACACCCTGGACATTGCAGGACAGTTGTAAAAGCACATCAATCAAAATCTGCTAAATCAAGATCATGGTCCTGTGGCTCAGTAACACCCAGTCACTGGGTTCACATCAAGGACCAAGCCAGCACCATCACCAGATATGTAAGCTATTTAATTTTTTTAGAAAAAGAGCCAGAAGGGCTGGGAAAGTGGCTCAGTGATAAGAGTGCTTGCCTTGCATGCATGAGGCCCTGGGTCCCATTCCTCAGCACCACATAAGCAGAAAAAGCCAGAAGTCGTGCTGTGGCTCAAGTGGTAGAGTGCTAGCCTTGAGCTGAAGAGTTGAGGGACAGTGCCCAGGCCCAAAGTTCAGGCCCCATGACTGACAAGAGAGAGAGAGAGCCTAAATTGTGACAAACACCAGCAGTAACAAGTACCACCACCCAGCAAGAGAAAAAAATTAAAGAACAAAAGGCATTTACTCAACAATTCCCTATAATCCCTGAAATAAACATTTCAGAACAAATGAGAATAAGCAGTCTAGAGTACTTCAAATATATAGACTGGACTCATAGCTCTAAAAGCCCATCTTCCAAGGGATCCTCCTGCATTCCCATCCCAACCTGAAAAAAACTTCCCGCCAGTCCCAGAAATGTTCTGTAATCTGGAAATACTGAGCAGCTATGCCATGCAAGCTGTCAATCAAGCAGTGCCCTGTGCTCCTCACCGCCAGGAACCGTGAGATGTCCTTCCGGTCATCAACCTTCATGGCTACAACATTCTCAAACATCCAGAAGAAGGGCCGGTTATCACCCTCCTTAGGGCGAGAGTAATTCAGCAGATGGTAGAACTCAAAGAAGAGACGGCCAGTGCCCTCTACATCCATAAAAACATCAGAAAAAGAAACACAAGTTCATTAAAAGTCTGCTGCACAGTGCTCCTCACGCAATCAAACAGGTTCCCAATGACAGAAAAGTCCAATTTCCTCGGATCACTATCTATCCCTGGAGGCCGGTGGAATGAGCCAGCAGCAGGCAGTACAATAATCACTAGCACTGTATTATGTACTGAATGTAAAGTGTTAAGAAGGGTTGTTCACACCTATAATCCTAGCTACTCACTAAGGAGGCTGAAATCTTGAGGATTGCAGTTCAAAGCCAGCCCAGGCAGAAAAGTCCCCTTGAGACTCATCTCCAATTAACCACTTGAAACCAGAGGTTATACTGTGGTAGACTAGTAGCCTTGAGCAAGGGGTGCAGGGAGAGCACCCAGTTCCAGTTCAAGCCCCATGACTGACCAAAAAAATAAAAAAAAAAGGGGGGGGGAGTGGAGGAAGAACCACCTGATCCTATCAGAAACCAGGAGTCAGGTATAGTAGGGTCTCTGGCACTAAACAAATGGAGTACTTACCATATAGCCCCTTCCTTGCTGGATTCACATTTGAGAGGTCATTGCATGGGCTTCCACCAATCACCAAGTCAAAGGGACCCCACTCATCAATCTGGGGGACAAAAATATGGTCAGGGAAGAGATAAGGCTGAGGAAGGTGCAATAGAAGGTTTTTTTTTGGGGGGGGGGTCCGGTCGTGGGGCCTGAACTCTGGGCCTGGGTGCTGTCCCTCAGCTCTTCAGCTTAAGGCTAGCAGTCTACCAATAGAGCCAGAGCGCCACTTCTGACTTTTTTTCTTTTTTTGCTTATGTGGTGCTGGGGAATCGAACACAGGGCCTCGAGCATGCAAGGCAAGCGCTCTACCACTGAGCCACCTTCCCAGCCCTAGAAGGTTTTTTATGTGACCCAATTGTTGAATCTTTCTTGGTCATTAGCTCGATTAATTCTCAGGATTCCCTATGAAGTTACTATTTTAACAAGAATTAACCATAAATTATCTTTAATCCACAACCCTGGGATCTAGCATTCCATGAGGGTTGAGGAATTGGGAGACATAACAAGGAAAGAAAAGTATGACCCAGAAGGGCAGGGACTGTACTCACATTTTGCTTTGAGATTCTCCGGACATCATTCACATATTTTATATTCCCTCCATGCTTAACAGTTCCCACAGCAATAGACTCTTGACAGACTTCAGAAGCGACATACCTGTCCACCTTAATACCCAAATCTTTGAGGACCAAATACCCTGTGGGAAGGCCAGACACAATTATATAAATGATGCTCAGTACAGAACAGCTGCATTCCAGTCCCTGTGCAGTGGTAGATTGAGGATCATGTTTAGGACCTCACTGGCAATTAGGAGCAAACAATGTAGTCAGGCTAGACCCCGGGAGATCATAAACCCTGCTTGTGGACTATTCTATGTGTGTAAAACCTTCAGGAAATGGAAAGGAGAGAAAAACAACAATGGTAGTAGTGATCCATTAAGAATTTATATATGTGGTATGAGCCAAAAGGTCAGATACCTGAACAAATTAAAAATTAAATGTAACAGCTAATACGTGTGTTCTTTTAAAAAGGACAAAAGTGTGTCCAGATGGTAACAATAAGCGAAAGCTGAGGAAAGTGCAGGACAGGTAATAACCCTAACACCTGGACCAAGTCAGACTCCTTGACTGGCAGGGAGAGGTGACTCCTAACTTACCTGTGGCAATTCCATCGAACAGTGACAGCACTCTAATGGGCCGCCTACGAGCTGCAGGAATCGCAGGGTATAACTTAGGTGGTTCCTGCCAGAAGAAAAGTGGATCATGGATTGAAGGAGAGGCAGGGAGCCCTCAGGGGAAATGATGAATCCTCAGGGGGATTCATAAGCTGCTGTGACTGGCTCTCATCCTGAGGCCCTGAGAGGCTCCATTTGGGTAATGAATCTTGCTATGTGTATCCACAGTGACCAAGACCTCCATGGTTCTAGGGCCTGTGGTGGTGGGTGATGATGTCTGTGGCTTGCTTACAAAATCAAACTCTGGATCTGTCGTGAAGAAGGTATTTAGGCGCACATTCCAGTCCTTGCGGCGCCGGAGCACCCCATGGCAGCGCTGTGGGACACACATGTAGCAACTCCAGGGCTCCTGAAGCTTGGCCTCTGCAGCTGTGCCAGGGCCAACCAGCACCTCCAGACATTCCACACAGAAGCACCTGAACCAGTGCGTGAGAAAGGACACTGGTCACCAAACAGCTCTCTCAAAGGTCCCATTCCCAGGAAGATGAAATTTCATAGGGCCCCCTTGCTTTGCTTAACATTTTGGCCTGCAAAGCTCCACAGGAGAGGTATGCTACTCGGCCTCAATTCATAGGCCCTTTGCAAAAATTCTCCCTCCCACCCAATCACCATGGACCTTTGGACTTCAGGTCAGTTTGCAAAGCATCCGAGGGAAAGCTTATTCTTCAAACCACAAGACACACCTACACCAAGGCCAGGGTCAATCACTCAATTAGTATTACCCCATTCTTGACATTTAGCCTTCTGTCTAGTCAGTCCCCTTGCCTGTAGTCCAATGCAGTTACAAGTCCTGGTGTTTTGGATGGAAGCAATTATAGGCTACTACGTGCCTGCAGGAATGGCAAAGTACAAGCTGGGGTCCTTGGGGCCCAGTCAGCGACGCAGAGGCCCAGTGCTTACCGGCAGCAGCTCGTGTTGCTGCAGAGAAGTAGCTCTCGGCCCTCACAGCACACGGTGCAATAGGACTGATAGCCATCATCGTCATACATGTAAAACAACTCGAGGAAGCGCTCCTGGCAGTTAAAGACATACCCATGAAACCAGGGATAACAGTAACCCAAACCCAGCTTGTCCAATGGCTTATGCCTTAGGTTAATTTTCTGGTGGACTGGTGGCCTTTATCAGGGTCGAATGCCCATGGTCTATGGTGCCTTATAGAACTTCTCTGCTATAGCATTCTCCACTGGAAGAGGAAGCATAGGAGGCAAGGGCAGTGGGCGGGCTTGAGGGCAGAGACTATCAGGAAGTAGTGTAGGAGAAGGAAACAAATGCACAGGACTCACTCGACATGTGTGGCAGAGTCCACCCTCAAAAAGTGGGTGGAATGATGCAGGATTTTTTCTACCACAGGATAGACAGCGATCTGCAGGAAAGGCAAAGTGAGGGATTATTCCAACTTATGACCTAACACCAGAATCAGTTGTATATGGGTTAGGTGTGAAAGGTGTTAGACATGCATAAGGCTTTATTCCCCCACCCCTCTCTCTCTCTCTCTTTTTTTTGGGGGGAAGGGGAGGCTGTGGGGCTTGAATTCAGAGCCTGGGACTATCCCTGTGCTTTTTTTGCTCATGGATAGTCCTCTACCACTTTGAGCCACAGCTTTACTTCCAGCTTTTAGTTAGTTAAATTGGAGAACATAGTCTCACAGATTTTCCAGCCTGGGCTGGCTTCTAACAGAGATTCTCAGATGTCAGCCTCCTGAATAGCTTAGGATTACACACATGAGCCACTAGTGCCTAGTCGTTTATTATCCCTTTCATGGAAGTTTCAGTCATTGTCCTTTTCCTCACTCAAGCAGACAATCCTATTTAAAAAAAATAGGCAAGACAAACAAACCCTCACCTGGTAGGAAAAGCAGTAGAACACTCAGAAAGTGACCCATCAGCAAAGGGATGTTCTGAAGGCCTAGCATTAGCACCCCTCATAGCATCCAGACTGAGGAGCCAGGTGCCATTTGGCTCATGCTTGTAATACTGTTTAAAAGGCTGAGATCTGAGGATCAAAATTTGATGCCAGTCCATGCTGGAAAGTCCATGAAAATCTTACCTCCAGTTAATCAAAAAGCTCAAAGTGGAGTGGTAAAGCTCAGGAACTACACCCAGGCTCTGGGTACAAACTCCAGGATGAGAACAAAAAACTGGATCCATACTCAGAACCCCCAAATCCCATTAGGTGTATTCTATGCAAATGACTGAATCCTAGTGAAGGTTCCCACTGGATCTTAGTCTTGAGAAAGGTAACAAATGGCAATGCTTTTTACCTAAAAGCTACCTCCTGCTCTTGGTTGGGAAGGTTTAAGGTACCATTGGTTTGGCTCAGGTTTTGGCTTCCCTTTCCTATTCCCAGCCTTCATTGGATTCTCTTTACCCAGGTTTCATTCTGTCTCCATCAAATCTACCTATTCACATCTTAGTTCTTAGTTTTAATCTAAAAAATTAAATAAGTAACATATAATGATCTTATTAAAGTAAAATAACATAGGATGAGAGAAACAGACTTATATGGAAAATTGGGGGCCAGGTAGGGTAAAAGGGCCCTGGGCAACACCAGCAAGGAAGAGAAGGAGAGATGAGGACATTACCTTCCAGATTTCCCTTGTTGTTGGTGACATCAGAAGCCATTTGTTCTGTTGAAGGAAAAAGTTCAATTAGACATTCATGCTTAAATCACCTCTGCCATGATCCCCACTAAAACTGCTCCAGATAAGGGAAGCTCTAAAGCACCCTCCCTACTCCCAAATCACCTCGACTTTGATCATCCTCCCCACGGTCTTTGCCGTTGTTATAACAATTGGTCTTGAGGCGCTTGGGTGGGGGGCAATGGTCAGAAGTGGCAGACTCATCCGCTGTGCGCCTTCGACTCTTATTCTCTGTGAAAAAGAAAGCACATGGCATCCATAATTAGAGGAGAATACATGGAGAAAGTTGTCCCATAATTAGATTGTGCTCTGCACAGAACTCGCTGCCTGGCTTGATGGCATGAGAGGTCTCCTTAGGAAATACAACCCAAAATGGGTAGCTCAACTCAACTCAATCCCTCATAATCAGGAACAATGAGCTGCTTGTATATGCAATCTTAAACATCTGTATGTCCATCCTTCTAAAATTAGCTCAACATTATGATTAATTTCACCTGTATCTAAAAGTGACACATCTGATTCATGTGGTTACTGAGCACTGTCAATGGAGACTGAGGATTTGACATGACATCCGACTGCTAAATCATGACAACTTGAAAATGGAGAGGATTTCAACAACTATTTCATTTATACAAGTTCAACATGAATCTGGTTTTCAAAATTAGGTTGAGATTAATTTGCATCCTAATACCAGAAATCTATTTTATTAATGCAGATAAATTATGTCAAATGAAAATAGCCATCATCATTAAGTGGCCATGTATAAGATACATGACAGCCAAATAAAAGGTAAAATCTTGAGGCTCACTAAATGTTGAAATGCCAATATTTTAGTAACAGGGGATTAAGAAAATGTACAAATATTTTTGTTTCAGCTGTTTCTTTATCTCACTGAAACTATTACAAAAAAAATACATAGTCCTCAATCGATCAAGGTTATGTATGTTTCAGCTCAACTGATGGAATCAGCACAGCCATGGCTAATTAAATTTGACTGCTTCTGCAGACAAATTTGTATAGTTTTCCAGTATCCTAAGGAAGGTTGATGTGGCAACACCTGCCCATAATCCCAGCACTCAAGAGTCTGAGTTGGGGGTCACAAGCCAGTCTGGGCTATTTAAGCTCTGTCAACAAAAACAAAACACAAACAACAGTAATAAAATGACATTTGGTGGTGCTGAGGGGAAAGAAGGAAACCAGTGTTCAGCAGAAGAAAGGAAGTGCACCCAATGTTACCATGAAGACGTGGAGAGGAGGTGAGGAGAGGGGGTTGGGTTCAGATCAGCTTAAGAAATTTGATTCTCAGTGAGTTCTGCATTTGCCAAGAACTAGAAAGAGTGAAAAAAACAACAGTCTTGAGATGGGAAGGGGAATACCGTATTTCCTGGATCCTAACTTCCTACTGCCTGCACGCTGCACCTTCGACTTATTAACCACTTTTTTGGGGGGAGGAAACAAAACAAAACAGAAAACATTATGTGAAATGTTAAAATACACCTTGCATTTAAAGAAAGAGACATAATGGGGGAGGAATATAGCATTGGTCAAAATGATAGGATGGGGACAAATGGCTATGCCATTTATTTTTCTTGAAGTAAAATAAAAGTGGTAATAAAGATGGAATCCTGTTTACTCCAGTTTTCAGGAGATTCAGTCTTAGCTACATGCAGGTGACCTTTATAGGCATTTCCTGCCCATGTCCTGGGGTTGATTTTTATAGCATGCTTTGGTTTGAGGATGGGTACGGGAGAGCTTTGTAGGATAGGGACAGCTAGGGTACAGTCCCCAAGGGCTGCTCCCACAACTAGTGGCAGGGCTAACCCAAGGCCTTTTCCCACCTGGTTGCTTGTTGTTGGGTTTCAAGCCTTCGATCCCAGTGGGCTTGAAGCCCCCATGGGCCCACTCCAACATGGGCTTCAGCTGGTCCTCCAGTGAATCTCCAGGGCTGCTAGGGAAGGTCTTGCCAGCACGTATCCTGGCTTTCTGCCAAGATAGAAAGGCAGAGTCTGTGATGAATGGGGCAGGGAGGGGGTGTTAGCCAGGCCAAACCCAGGAAGTCACCCTGCCCTTCAATCCTCTCACACTGGGCCTTTTCAGAGCCTGACAGCTGTGCTGGGCTGTGGAATGTGTGTGATAAAGGGCCTGGGCAAACTGGCTGGAGATCTGGGGGCCCTGAAGAGTCAGGACTTTCCCTACCCAACATGCACCAAAAATGCTTCCCAGCAGGAAATCTGAATAGTTCCTCTACTTCATGATGAAGCTGCAGGAGTTAGTCTCCTTGTTGAAGACACCAAGCATTGATGCTTGACCACATCAATACCACAGGCCCTTTATTACAAGAACCGTGAGCGTTTACATGTGTAAAAAAGCACAAGGTCAAATGGCATGTTATGGCAGGCTCACATTAGTACAGGAGAAACAATGGGGAGGGATGGCAGAGCCTTATGGTTTACAAACTTGGCCTGGAGGAAGGGCAGGAAGCAACTCTGCCTACTCTTGGCCTTCATCTTTACCATTCAAAGTGGGGAGTATATGAGGTATCTGGAAAGTCCAAGATGAATATGGTCCCCTCCATAAGGCAGAACTCATACTTTCCCAGTGGGTCCCCTCTTTCCAAGGCAGGGCTCTCCACGACTACCCTTTGGCATTTCCTCTTTGATGGCCAAGGTACCCTTGTGACATGGGGACCTACCTAGAACAGCTTTTTACATGTTGTCTTGTCTTGCTTCCTATACTCTTTAGGTTCAGACCTTAATTCCCCAGTGTCAAGTTACCTCCAGGGTATGGTACATGGCCTTCTTGTAAGAAACCAGTTTATTGAAGGTGGTCAGGTTGAAGTGCTGGCTGAACTGTCCTAGGGCAACCAGTTTGTCTGCAGCGATCTAGAAGAGAAGATAGCCATCATTACCATATACCCTTACTGTGTCACCAGTGAGGCCTGGCCCCACCAGGCCAGCCAGGAAGGTGTGCAGTCACTATACTTCACCAGGACTCATTCCTGAGGGCAAGTACACAGGTGTCAACTTCAAAACAAACAAAACAAAAAAAAACAGAAATGGTCCTGACCTATTCTGTGTCAGAAATATGGCAATCTTCCAGATGTGGGAAAATGGAATATTGCTAGCGCATAGTATTATATGAATCCTGTCCTGTGTGTGCACACATTTATATATGTGTTCAAGGTCTGCAGCATGGAACTGTGATGCTCCAGTACTGAAATTCAATCTGGGTGTACATTTTATTCGCACTGGTGACTGCAAATGACAAACTTCTCACTGTCCCAGACCACATGAAGAGCAAACAGCATGTGCTGAGAACACTTGGTACAATTTTTGGCCCTTGTTAGGCCTCATTTGTCCAACAGACCTTCATGGTGATTAATCTCACAGTTCAGATGACCATCAATCCTAAACTCCACATTTCGTTATCAGGTAATGTTGATATGTTGACATACCATCCCTTCTGCTTCATGAGACCAAAGTCACTCCCCCAATTCTGGAATTAGGTTTAACCTCTTGCTCCCTCTGCTGGTTAGTGCACAATTGCAACACCCCCCTACCCAGCTGAATGCCATTCATCGCCATTAATTTTTTTACCCTTAGGAAATGATCTCAATCATGGAGAAACTAGAAGCTCAAACTGAGGACTGCATCCCAGGAATGTACTTGATGGTCCCACATGTGTTCCATGCTCAACAGCTTGCCACACTTTAGTGAGGAACACTTTCTCTAGGTTGGAAACTCTATTCCCATCAATATTTACATGTCACAGAATAGACTGAAACGGTATCAGAGTCAAAGGGAAATTGAGGGTATAGCCTAGTGGTAGAATGTTTAGCTTTCAAACATGGGGGCCCGGTGTATAATCAGTACTGTAAAAAAAAATTCACAATAACCTAATTACCATCAGAGCTCCTCCCAGCAGGCCATAATTGTCAAGCAAGATTAATTATCGGATGTAGCTCAAGTGCCAGTATCTATAGAGTGAAAATAAACCTTTCTGTCCCTGCTCTCATTGCTCCATGAGTTTGCCCACAAAATATTTCTGGCTATAAATGTAATTAAAGAGCTGGAGGTAAGTTGTAGTAGTCCTGCCTAACAGCAAGCAACCCTAAGCTCAAAGGGGCTCTGAAATACTCAACTCTAAAGAACTAATAATACACGCCTACATTAACAAATCCTTCGACCTGTCCAGGGCCCAGTGTGTCCCAAAGAGTAGCCATTCTTACTCCTAAGCCCTCAGTACCTATGCTAGTGATTTTGCCAAGAAAAAGCAAAAAATAAAATAAAATCCGCACGGCCAATCCAGAACTAGCAAAAAAGTCACCTGCCAAGAATTTACTTCATATTCAAACATGGCAAATGTTTGTCCACAAGAGTCTCTGTGCGCACATTTGCAAATAAGTGACATTTGAGCTACTAAAGAGAGGCTAGGGACTTACCTCAGAGAACTTGCCATCACCAAACCATTGGACCCATCGCATGCCAGACATGGCCTGGCGCTTGGAAGTGTCCTTCCAGGATACCACCATGGCAGGCCACCAGGAGAAGCCCTTGATCTTTCCCCACACAAGGTCCCCTATCCCAAACTCCTTTCCATCCTGAAAGAAAAACCAAATGAAGAAACTCTAGTGAAAAAGATCAAAGAAAGAGGAGGAATATCCTGAAATTCCTCAAGTCAGTGAAAAGCTTGTCATCAAATGTGGAAGCTGATTTGGGGTGGAGCTCAAGAAAAAAAAAAAAGAGCTGGGAATGTGGCTTAGTGTAGAGTGCTTAACTAGTAGGCATTAAGCCATGGGTTCCATTCCTCAGCACCATTTAAACCGAAAAGGTCAGAAGTAGCCCTGTTGTAAGTGGCAGAGTGCTAGCCTCAAGCCACCGATGCTCAGGCTCTGAATACAAGCCCCAGGACTGGCAAAAAAAAAAAGAATAGTTAACATGAGGACCATGGGTACGCACATACACAGTATAAATAATCTACTATGTATTGGATATTGAAAAAAGGAATCCTGGGGTTATCCATGAAAGCTCATACCTGTAATCCTAGCACTTGGAAGGAGACAAAAAGAATGGCTTGGAAAGCCTGTCTGGGCTTTATGGTTAGGTTGAGCCATCTTGAGATAATGAGCATGTCTCAAAAAAAAAAAAAACCCTACAATCCTTCATGAGTACTGGTATGTAGGAAAGCTAAGGGCTAAAATGCTTGAGGGGACATAAAACAAGCTCAAGTAGTTCATTATGGTTAATGATCCCAATACACAGACAGATGACAGACTTAAACTGAGGAGATTCTAAATAGTATTTGGGTGAAATGCTGTTCTATCACGGTGTGACCCTCATGTATACACATATACTCAGAAGAAAATCAATTCAGATTTTTCTGGTAATTAATTGTGACATATACAGGATACATTTCAAGGGCCATGTAAGAAATAGAGATCAAATTGATTTTTTTGAGGGGGTGGCAGTGGGAGGGGGGGTTGGTTGGTTGTGAACTCTGGGCCTGGGCGCTGCTCCTCTGATCTTCAGCTCAAGGCCAGTGCTCTACCATTTGAGCCATAGCACAACTTCCAGTTTTTCTGCTTATGTGGTACTGAGGAATCGAACTCAGGGCCTCATGCATGTGAGGAAGCATTCTACCATTGAGCCACTTCCTAGCCCTTGGATTTTTTTCTAAAGGCAAAAAAAAAATTCACTTGGCACTGGTGGCTCATGCCTATAACCCTAGCTAATCAGAAGGCTGAGATCTGAGGATTGCAGTTCCAAGCCGTGGGTGGAAAGTCCAATTCACTGCCAAAAATGCCTGAAATGGAACTGTGGCTCAAGTGGTAGATAATGCTCAGGGACAGCACCTAGGCCCTAAAAAAAGTAAAAAAAATAAAAATAAAAATCATAGCAGTGATTGGTCAGTATGTAATATATGTGGCAATTGTTTTCTTCTGCCTATTTCCAGGGTCTCTTTGGTTACCCAAGGCAAAGCCCTTCTTAGCTATACCTGATACTCGCTCTCAGCATCATGGCTCTCTCCATCCATCTGTGAGGACTCCAGGTTTTCCTGCTTGCTGTCTTGTCCTATCCCAGTATAGGGGGTACTGCTGCTTTGGGGTGTCACATCATCATCTGTGAGGTCGATGGTGGGGTAAGGGCTGGCAGGGGAGGGCCATGGTGTGCCTGCTGCTGCTGCTGCCCGTCGTCTCAGAGACTGTGGATAAAAGGACAATTTGGGTGACTGCAAAGCATAGGAGGCAGATGGACAGAGAGCATTTCCCCCAAACAGCTTCCCACATGAAGATAGAAAGAATCAAGGTACAGGTCAAGACAACCCAAGATGGTTACCAGGAACAAGGATGCCCTAAGTGGTAAGAGGAAGTTACTGTAAGTATTCAGAGACAAGCACAACAGGTAAAGCCAAAAGGCTCTCGGCCTTGCAGAGCAGGTAGTCTGTTTATTTGCCTCCTAGTGGCCAATGCGGCAGCAGAAACAGGATTTTGCTTGACTTGCTGTGCTGTCAAGACAGTTGAAGGACACACTACATAGATAATATGGGTCTGTTAGTCAGTGCCTCCTAGCTCAACTCGTAAGTGGGCCAAGAATCGGTACGCTGAGGAATTTTCTCATTATTAGCATATAAGTGAATTATTTAGGTCTCAGATAAGAGAGAAGCTGTGCTGCTAAGGAGAGAAGGTTGCTTGTGCCCAGGAGACAAAGAAAAGGCAAGGCCCTGAAAAAGTTGACAGCCAAGGTGCAAGGAGTCAGATCATCCAATCAGAGATGGACTGGGCAAGGGAACCAACCCTGGTAGCTGGGAACTCCACGGGGGACTCAACAGGATTGCGGCCTTGGCGGCCTCGGGTGAAACGTGGAGAGAGCCTGTACCTCTCCTGACTGGAGGCATTGTTATTTCGGGTTCGGACCTGGAAGCAAGGAGGATAAGCAAAAGGCCTTAGGTAACTGGGGACAAAGGAGATTGGGCAGGTGGCCAAAAGGATTGGGCCAGGGTTGTCCGGGTGACCTAGACTAACAACTCCCTACCCAGAAATTTCCCAGTTGTGTAAGTATAGTGAAATGCCAGCTACATGGTCTGCTGTGGGTCACACTTGCAGGTTTAGCAAGCTGCCAACAGGCACCTAGAAAGTAGAATCAAAAATAAACGTGTTGCCAGGCGCTGACAGCTCATACGTATAATGATAGCGAATCAGGAGGCCAAAATCTGAAGATAGTGTGGTTCAAAACTACCCTGGGCAATAAAGTCTGTGAGACTCTTCTCTCCACTAAATTACCAGAATAGGACTGGGAAGGTGGCTCAGTGGTAGAGTGCTTGTCTCACATGCATGAGGCCCTGGGTTCGATTCCTCAGCACAACATAAGGAGAAAAAAAAGCCAGAAGTGGCGCTGTGGCTCAAGTTGTAGAACACTAACCTTGAGCTGAAGAGCTGAAGGACAGCGCCCAGGCCCAGAGTTCAGGCCCCACAACCAAAAAAAAAAAAAAAAGAATAGCACCTAGGCTCTGAGTTCAAACCCCAGGACCAGCAACAAAAAAAATGAAATAAAAAGTATGTTTTCAAAAAATATATATATGACCAGTTACTTTTTTAAATGATGGAAGAACGTCCATCCCTCAATTGTTTTCTCAAACAGCATGGATTTGGGTCTTGAGAGTCCTGTTTCGCTTCTGTATCATCTGTGGTTATTTAATCATGATGTAGCTGGAATCTTGTTGAATATGCAAAATAGTTTGCAATACATATAGCATGAGAAGGAATTGAGGTTAGGAGCCATGGGTGACAAGTTCTGAAGTTACGAGACCTATGGGACACATCAAAAGCTAGCCGGGAATAAAATCTCCATTCAATCAGAAAAAAAAAGCCAGGCTGGAGGAATGGCTCAAGTGATAGAGAGAAAGCTAAGCAAACAAAGGCAATGAATTGAAATTGTCAGCCCTGTTATGAGAGGGGTGGTGCTGAGCATTGATTTCCCATGTTTAGACCTCACTCAAGAATAGTGAGGTCTTGGGCTGGGAAGGTGGCTCAGTGTTAGAGCGCTTGCCTTGCATGCCTGAGGCCCTGGGTTCGATTCCCCAGCACCACATAAGCAAAAAGAAAAAAGCCAGAAATGGCGCTATGGCTCAAGTGGTAGAGTGCTAGCCTTGAGCTGAAGAGCTGAGGGACAGTACCCAGGCCCAGAGTTCAGGCCCCACGACCGGACCCAAAAAAAAAAAAAGAATAGTGAGGTCTTGGGGCTGGGAAGGTGGCTCAGTGGTAGAGCGCATGCCTTGCATGCCAGAGGCCCTGGGT